CAAGAAATGTGGCCATATTTAGTATGTTTATGTGCTAGTGAATCTGGCCTAGACAGAGTGACTGAGTCAAACCGAGGTTTCTTTTGAAGCTCAGATGAGATTTGGAGGTTCTGTCTGAATGCTTGTGACTGAAGCTATCAGAAGTTGGCTTCACATCCGAACAAAAAGGCTCCCTGTACCCTAGCAGCACCCTAGACTAGCTGTACAGAGTGTGAATAGCAGAGCGGTGAGAGAGCGGGGAGGGGTCACGTCACTGCGGGGCCTCTATATTTTATTTTCCCCAAGAGCTGCCTGAGAACCCATAGACACATGCTACAGAATTCCCCCGCAGCCGAGAGAGAAAGAGGGAGGGACGGAGAGAGGGAAACATGGAGACTTGGGTGAAAAAACGACAGAATTCAACGTGTTCACGCAGACACAGGCTTTTTTCAGTATTGTTGTCTTTTGGTCCACCTTTAGGTTACTTGGTAAACTAAACTGCAAATGGAAAATTGTTAAAAATATTAACATTTTACAGCTTTCTTGGAAGTGGAATGTTCCATTTTCAAAGCATTTCTATGGGGAAGTGTGGTAATCCTTTGTACAATGTATGTAGTCATGATTGACAGAAAGCCCCTGTTTTTTTCTGTGTCCTTGCCTCATGCTGGGTCAGTGTGGACGGGGCATAGACAAGGGTATTTTTTGCATAGGCCCATCTATTGGGAAAAGGTTAAGGGTCATTCTTACAAATGTGGCGGTTACGGCTTTGATAGTACGCAATTGTAGCAGCAAGACTCTAACTGTCATTAATGATTATGATGTTTTTGATCAGAAAACATTTTTTGTTCAACATGGTGATTCATTCAAGTGAGTAATACGCTTGCAAAATGATGAATAAAGTCATTTTAGAATTTTATAGTTTTTAATACACTGTTAAAGTAGTCCTGCTAGGCTATTTGCAAAGCAGTTCAGAGTAATAACATTGCAAGCTTGCGCAAATACACATGCCTTTTCAGGTAGGTTCTTTTGGCAGTTCAGTCCTAATTAAAGAACAAAATAACTCCACAGTGCACTCGAAGAACCCTTTGAGATCATTCTGACAGAGCACACACTCCATCTGGTGGTCATCTGTGGAAAACTATGGAAAAATACTTTGGATCGACATATTGTTCCTAACATATTGTTGACATAACCGGGTTAAAAGCGTTAAAAAGTCAAATTATTTCATTTTGATAGGCTCTACCGTTTCTTGACTTTGTTAAAGTGCTTATTTATCTTATTCTCGTGTCATCATCGTGTGTCTTAATAAAAATCTATAAGTTATATATATATAACAAATTGCAGGTCGTGCAAAATTCTGCTGCTAGAATCCTAACTAGAACAAGGACAAGGGATCATATCACTCCTATCTTGGAGTCTTTGCATTGGCTTCCTGTTAGGTTTAGGGTTGATTTTAAAATTCTGATGCTCACTTACAAGGCTGTGCATGGTTTGGAACCCCAATATTTGTCAGAGCTTTTAACTCCATATACCCCAAGACGGAACCTTTGCTCTTCTGATACTGGGTTGTTAATTGTTCCGTCTACCCGTCTAAGATCGATGGGTGATGGGGCTTTTTCTTCTCTAGCTCCAAAACTATGGAATTCCCTTCCAATTGAAATAAGGCAGGCGAATTCTCTTAACATTTTTAAATCTCGCCTTAAAACTCATTTATTTAGGATAGCTTTTACTTGAATTTTTACATTAATTTTATATTATTTATATTTTTACGTGTTTTGAATGCATGTTTCCTGTTTTTTTTTTCTTTGCTTATTTTCATAAGTCTACCCGTCTAAGATCGATGGGTGATGGGGCTTTTTCTTCTCTAGCTCCAAAACTATGGAATTCCCTTCCAATTGAAATAAGGCAGGCGAATTCTCTTAACATTTTTAAATCTCGCCTTAAAACTCATTTATTTAGGATAGCTTTTACTTGAATTTTTACATTAATTTTATATTATTTATATTTTTAAGTGTTTTGAATGCATGTTTCCTGTTTTTTTTTCTTTGCTTATTTTCATAAATTTTTATATGGCGTATTTTGATGTTTTATTTGTTATGTAAAGCGCTTTGAGAAGTAACATTTAAAGGCGCTATAGAAAATAAAGATTATTATCATTATTATTATTGTTAAGTTGTCTTTTATCACAATTAAGTGAATGGGGTAGTGAATTTTAAATAATTCCACTTGAAGCGGATGTTGCAATTTGTTTATTCTTTTCTTTTATCCATACGTTTCAACAAAACATGTTCGCTTGGGAATATAGCCTATTTACCCATACTTAATTTCTCTTTAAACAAAAAAGACCAGTCTCAAATGACATCTCGATGTCATCAAACTACAGGAAGTGACATTGTTTTGGTGGGAATACAACAGCACACACACGTAAGTTTTAGCAATAAATTCTCATTGATTCTGTTTTATATATGTTTTATATCACAGTTAATTAACCAAGTTGACGACATCGTCAGTTAAAAACAAACTCGTAAACTAACTCTTGGGTATTGTTAAGGTGGTCCTTATTTCTGTCCTGTTCTTTTTCTTGGCACTGTGTAAATAGTCAAATTATAATAAATAATGTTTAAGTCCCTGATTTTAACCAGAGCTTATTTTTGAAAGTCTGCTATTTACTTTTATATAAATACTTCCTTAATTTACAACTCAATATTAATTATCTTAAAAGTACCAGAGTTTAAAAGTTACTGCACAACAGGAATGACCTAAAGAAAGACCTCTTGCCTCGTTAAAATGTCTGCATATTTCAGAAAAAAAATTAAGTGATTAAGTTTTAAATAGCTTTCTATTGGCCTGAATAATTAAGTCATAGTTTGTCAGTGACATTTCCAGCAAACTCAATTCAAATCCATGGACTTTGGAGACTAATCTATCGAGAAAAAATAATCAGCAAGAAGGAAACAAAGTGTGCTCACATGTATGAACCCATCCTCACATCAGTAAACTCATTTCATGATTTATGTTCAATAACAAAAACCTACATTTGGATGCAAGGTTTACTGTATTAAAATTCGGTTTGATATAAGATATCTTAATATATTGCTGGAAAATTGCTGGGTTAATATCATCCGCATTTTTTCTTCCAAAATCATGACTATCAGGGGGAAGTAAAGAACAAACTAAGAAACTCAGAACTCACAAATTTAATGCAAATTAATGTGAGGACAGATCTGGCGCCATCTACCTACAGAAGAGGAAAAACACCTCACATTGCAGATTGTCGTTGTTAATGACGGCTACCTTTGGAGTGCATACAACAGAAAATTTGAAGAGGCAGATCTCAACCTGAGGTCATTTTGTCCTGCAAAGTGGTATTGGGTATCAATGTTCCCACATAAAATGGATCAATATCCTCTGCTGTAGGTGTGGTATGATTTTCCCAGGATCCAGCTGTGACTCAGAGGAATAGACAGTTGAGGTCGCGTATGTTCTTCTGTAAATGACAGCTGAGATTGTGTGGTGAAGTCTATAGCAGCTGTTGGCATAAGCTCAGGGACACTTAAATCCATTGCACTTTCATCCATTTAATTTTGTAAGGCCGAGATCATAGAGGAACGGTCAAAAACCAGCTCTTTAAAACTTTCCTCCATCACTGATGTTGTTATATACTAGAAAGTGGGCCAATTTAGTCCCAAAGAGTATTGAAATAGTACACTTACAAGTATACTACTAGTACACTGATATTTGTATACTTGCTACATAAAGTATACTTAAAAATATACTTGAACTTTACTTAAGTATACTTAATAAAATAAACTTGAAGTATACTACTTTTTGGTAAGGGTAGTGCTGTTTTGATCACTTTCGAGATCCACTTCTTCCTTCGCCTTGGTGTCAGCAGAATGTGGTTTGATGTCGGTGAAGGAGGCGCTACCTGCTATATCTGAAAACCGAACTGGTTTATAATTGTTTAGGCCTGATTTTGTTGAAGACATGTTAAGGTTGGATTTGGCTGAGGTTTTATCAAATGTATTAATGTACTGTCCGACTGCAAAGCTGCTTGTGGGTCTTAAAGCCTGGGACACACTGACAGCACTAAGGCTGATATCTGCTTCTGAGATTTGAGACGTTTCGTTCCTCCAGTCTGAAGCTGCATTAGCTTGAAGGATGTTAGCTTTGCCAGAAGGTTTCATAGCAGATCTGTGCATAGGTGACTGGAAAGTGAGCTTTGCAGAGCTATTCGTTTTATGACTATTAACGACAGCAGATCTATAAATTGCAGATTGAGAGGTTGGGATGGCATAGATGTTCTGGTGGTTTGAACTGTCTTCAACTTGCCTACCAATCACAACGCTGCTGGTCGGTCTCAATTTTATGGGACTATAATTTTCAGTATCTGACTGTGTTATTCCAGCAGAGTTTCTGTCTTTAATTTCCTTTGTTGGATTTAACACACCTTCATGTTCCTTCAAGCTATACCTGCGAAGTGGCTGGATAACAGCATTGCGTATTTGAGGATACCCAGTCACTTTGTTCATAAGAGAAGACTTATGAATTGGAAGAATAAGCTCTGATGTGGGACTGTTAGGACTGTTGCTAGATTTTATGGATGCTATTTAAGTTGGACCCAACAAAACTGCCATTTGAGAATCTCACTGTTGGGAATTCATCTTGGTTAGATTTAGTGGGCTGTGCTGAAGTAAGCCTACTTGAAGTCCACCTCTGAGATGTTTTTGACTGAACTTCGTCAACAGCTCCATTATTTGTTGTATTTGAGATGTTTTCATTGCTACAGCTTGACCTCTAACAACATGGTGCTTTAGAGCATCAGACATCGGGTTACTTGCACCTTCAGTAGAAGAGGTGGTTTCACGTTGAGGTCCATTATCAAAAGAATCTGTCTGATCCCAATAAGGTTGTTTTTCTTGGCTTGATTCAATGTCCTTGAACTGGAAAAACGTTTTTTCGTAGCTCTCACGTATCAAGGGTTTTTGAGCAAGTGCACTTTGGGCGGTATGTGGACGAGCAGGGGCATATTGCACATTAGATGAAGACTTTAAGAAGGGCTTTTGGCCAGAGTGCATTTCTGATTTTTGTAGAGATGTCTGCAATGTAGGGACAAATGTGAAACCTTTAAAAGCATACAGCTTTTTAGAAGTTAGATAATATGGTCTGTTTCGGCTACTAGACGTACCTGAATATTTAGATGCGCCCTGAGTGCCAGACACAGATGGATTAACGCTGTGGACGTGACTCTTCATTGTGTTACCTGGCACAAGACTTGGCACAGAATAATGTTTAATGGATAACAATTGTACAGTACTTTGAAGGAATTCAGGTGTGTCCTATTTTGGGTGTTATGCTCAATTAATGATTTGTTGGGTCTGGTAGATTAATATTTTTATCACGTTCTGAAAATAACATGGTGTTCTTTGCGAACTGCATTCATGGGGTCAAGTCTGTGTTTTGTTTTGACCGTTTGAGTAGCGCGGACATCTGGATGCCACTGTTTTCATCTGATAGGAAGTAAGAGCAGGCATTATTGGTCACTGAAGGCCTGATGGCAGATATACCTGTAGCCAAATGATCATACTTCTTTTGATTGTGAAAGGTTTGAATGGGCACAACATTCTGACTACTTTGTCCCCTATTTTGGTAACCATTTTGTGTCAACTGAATGTTCTTGAGAGTGTAGCTGCTCGCGGCTGATTTTGTATTTCCATATTCAAAAATGCTTTGCAGATTTGCAACCCTTTCAGAATTAGACAGCTTGATGTGATCATGCTGAGAAGAAAACATCTGAGATTTTTTTAATGGAGATTTTAATCTATGACCTCTAATTGAATTTGATCTCTTAAATGCAGGAGATATTGGTGTTGGGATTGTCGGAGGTTTAAACACCTTGGAAAGAGCTACGTCCCTCATATTTTCGTAAGAAATTTGTGAAATTCCAGTCCCAGCAGAAAAAGCTTGTGGCAATGGTTGGCTCTTTTGTTGATTTGCTGTTACAACTGAGGGAGATGTATTTGCCGGTACATCTCTCCTCACCACTTTTTGATTCTGGCCATTGTTTTGAAGAAAATGTTCCAGTAGCATGTTTCCATCACTTTTGTGCCTGATATTATGGTTCACAGTTGAGCTTCTAGACATATAATTGGTTGGAATATTTTCCCTCAAATAAGGTTCATTGAGTCCTAATGGTTGTGAACTGTCTGAGTGCATTTCTGATTTAGAAATATGTTGATATCCAAATGAGCCTGATCTATGCATTCCACCTTTTTTCCTCACCAGCCTTGGGGCCAAATTAATATCACTAGAGCTCATTTGGCTCCCATTAAAGTGTAATGGATTTTGTTTCTGTTGGACTGTTTGGGAAAACATAGCTTCATTTGGCATCAATTTCATCATTAAATTTGGCGCTTGCTAATTCAACAGGATTATTTCTGATATTGATATTGGACTGGATATTATTTGGGAATGAATAGATAACATCTGCAGAAGCTCTTGTGTCAGTGTGGCTGAAGCTTGGATTTTTTGCATTGAAATCATTTCTCTGGTTGTATGAGGCAGAGCTGATCCACGGCAGCTGATATTTGCTGTTCAATTGTTCTATGCTCCTTTGAAGACTGCCTCTTATTGGATTTTGAATGGGTGGATTAACACTTTTGAAACTTTTCAGCGCTTGTATTTTGATCTTTGAATCATCCGTGACATCTCCTAAAGGCATTGGTGATGAACCAACAATATATTTAGTTATTTTATAAATGCATATGGCAGCAAATTTAAAGCCCGTTTATTTGTACACATTATGCAATATATATGAAAAACACCCGAAGGACAATAACACAGTTTTGACTACTTTTGTCACATGCAGCTGTTCTAAATATTTATAGACTAAAAACTACATCTTACCTATTGACACTTCAGGCAAACATCCCACAACAGAAAGAGTCAAGCCAACCAAAGCCAGTCTATAAAAAATTTGTCAGTTTTAAAATTAAAATAAATGATTAATAAAATGTATGGAATGGTATTGCTAAATTGAAGGCCTGAGTGCTTACCTCAGATAGTATTGAAGAGACATGTTTTAAGGACTAATGCACTTGTGCTTACGTGCCACACAAAGCTTTTTGTCACACCTGGTCCAAATTACCCTACTAATTTGGGCTCACTGAAATGCTAATATTGTTGATCGGCATAATGGTGATCGCTGATGAGGTTCACCTGAATGCGTTCAAAGCTAAGAACACAAAACTTTGCACATACACAATCTCACATTTGTATTGGTTCTTAAAGTAAGATGAAAATTTGTGACTGCCTTTGCCTATAAAGAGTTTTAAAAAAGACAGTGTGCTAAACTTGTCATAAAAATGATCAAAAAAATGTATTTGGTACAAACATAGCAGTATACAGTCATTATGTTGGCTTGGCTGTTGTGCTATTTAAACTTATTATTATTCTTCTGAGACAAAAATTTTCTGACACTAACTCCTCCTAGGGCTTTAAGGCCACAAGCCCCAAACTCGGCAGAGACCTGGGCCCTGATGGGTAGTTTGTTGCTATATCTTTTCAGACTGATCAGACTTACAGTTTTTTTTATAAATAATTATTAAATATGAAAAATGTCCCATAGACTTACATTGGCTGAGAAAAATTGCGCCTCTAAAGGAGCAATTGCCCTTCTCTAGAGGGAGGAGTCGTATAACTTTAAAATCGGTTAAAGGGATGGTTGATTGCGATTTCACTTTTTTAACATTAGTTAGTGTGTAATGTTGCTGTTTGATCATAAACAATATCTGCAAAGTTACAACGCTGAAAGTTCAATGCAAACGGAGATAATGTCTTTTAAAATTATGCCAGTTTAATGCCTATTACAGCTGGTAGGGACTACAACAAGCTTCTTCCCGGGTTTGTGACATCACAAACCCATACATTTACATAAACCCCACCCCCGGGAACATGCAACAAAGGGGGCGAGGTCATGTTGCCCTGCATTAGAGAAGAGGAAGAGTTGTTGCCATGCCGTCAAAACTAGGGGTGCACGAAAAAATCTATTCATATATGAATCGTGATTCTGTCTTCTCTGCATCTCAATCAGGCTCAAAATGATGAGCAATATTGACGATGCCATTGTTTACAACACAACACCAGAGCACATGCACTGAGCTGAGGGGCGTGACATTTAGACGAGCACTGGCGGTTTAGCCAATCACAACACACTGGACTAGCTAACCATTCAGAGCCCATCCTGTATTTCTGAGGGAGGGGCTTCATAAAAACAGGAACTCATTGGAGCGTTTATCAGAGAAGGGACAGAGTGGTGTACAATCAGGGCCGCATTAACCATTGGGCTAGGCGGGGCTGAAGCTCGGGGCCCAAGCAAGGAGGGGGCCCGTGATTTGCTGTGGAGTAGATTGACGGACATCGGTAGCGCCGATCGCCAAAGCCCCACCACGCCCATGGCCGGACTTACCATTGGGCTTGAATGGGCTGCAGCCTTAACCCGTTTACATTTGTTCAGTTATGTGCCAGTCAGAAATTATTAGCCGCATTTCAACAGCGCGCAGGGGCCAGCCGGGGATAACAACTTCCAGCTTCCAACTACGACATTCGAAGCCATAATCAAACAGCATAAACTGGAATTTATTTATTTTTTTTCACATAGAAAAAGGACACACGTATTAAATCATGTCTGCGCTGCGCCGAATCGCCGATTAATTTGTGATCACATGGCTACTTTAAACGGTTCCATTAAGCCTTTAGCCCAAAAGAGCGCACATTTACAAAGATAATGATAAATTCTCACGTTCACGCCTCACTTCTTTACAGAGGATGATTCTGTATTATATTAATGTTCCACTAAATTAATCTGAAGAGTTTTGAGCGCTCTCTCCCGTCCAAAGACTATAGAATACCCTAATATCTTACAGGGACTTTGTCCCGTCTCACTACCTCCACACAAAGTGGAGCAGAAATTTCATCAAAACGATTAAAAAAAATTAAAATAAAAAAATTTACAGGGTTCGTACGGTCATGAAGAACCCAGAAAGCTTTGGAAAAGTCGTGGAAATTTATTTTACAAATCTCTATATAATAGAATATATGTTTAATCATGTCCTGAATCTCAGTGCGGGATTGCGCATTTTGGTTTTACTCATTTTCGCAGGTTTCGCACGTTTGGAAAATTCCCGCAAACATTTATTTAATATACAATGTAGGTTAGATGAGTTAAAAAAA